TTCATTATAGCGATTTCTCCGACGGTCACTGTAGTGTATTCGAGACCATTTAGTTCGTCTATGTATTCGCCGATCCGATTTTCGCTGCTGTTTACCACCACGACATCCTTGAGATCTAATCTGGCATATGTGGCTGGACCGTGTTTGGAGTCGCAGGTATTAGCGACCATACCGAACCCAGCAACTTTGTATCCGACTGCTTTGTAGTCATCTTCGATGTGCATCTCTTGCAAAATGGCGATGTCAATCTTGCTTTCTTTTAACGTCCTTGATAGATATTCGCATTTTGCTTAGAAAATGCCTTCGAAGTTCAGCTGAAATATGATGAGCGTGGGGCCCACTGTTTCATTTCTTTGGCCTTCATGAAGACTGTTGGATTTCTTCAGTCTTTATCTATGGCCTTCATAAGGACCGTTGGATTTCTTTGCTATTCTCCTTCTATGGCCTTTAGAACCGTCTGGTTTTTTTATTTTTCCTTTGTGACCCTCAAAAGGACCACTGGGTTTATTTCGTACTGGTTTACATGTTTGGTTCTGAAAAGAACCGTTAGATTTGTTGCTAGTCGAACCGAGAAATTGCTTTCGCAACCTTCGACTGCCAGGTGACGACGTTCGTCATACTGTTAAGCTTTGGCGTACTTTCGCAATACATAACAGGAACACCACGTGAAGGTTGTCATTTTGTCCCCAGCGTCCACACTAAAAATCTCTGCTTCACACTGTTCACTTAACGCTATCAGCATGTAGTGACTGGATGGTCCATAGCAACTGGCTATCGATCGTATCTGTTCGCGGGCATGCCCATAGATCGTTGTGCAGGATCCGGTCAGAGGCTTTCACTATGTCAACAAAGTATATGCAAACCGGATCGATGACATGGGTGTGAACTCCAGTGCGAAACAATCTGGCGTAGAGAAAACATTTTGTCAAGGGTGCTTCGGTCTGATCTGAAGCAAAACTGCTCCTCTCTGATTTTCGGGTGAGCAGTTCCGCAGCACTTTTTCAATACCTTTGAGTCGATTTTATACCAGAGATTCTAATCTGGAAGCTCCTGCCCGTATGTAAATAAAATCTTGGTCACGCGTCTGTTTCATTGTGAAATAAAATAAGATCTTAGAGTATGTAGTGTTATCGGATCTATTATGGCTATTAATTATAGTTTTTGACCCGTTGCATGAAATTTAATTTCTGATTTTTTCAAATGGTAAATGTATGCTTTAGCATTTCTGGTAAGGTCTGTGACGTTTGGGCGCAACCGCTTGTTGTTGTCAACGCCGCTCAGTCCGCAAGAAATCTTTTAATTGGGCAGTGGTCAGCTGCATGATTCAGGGCATCATACTGTAAATCAGTAGAGAGCTCTGTATGACTGAAGTACGATGCGGTGAAACCAGTGAGTTTTTATGTAAGTCAGTAAGTGGACAGTCGTGTAGCCAAGAATTGAAATCTGCACGTTGGAAACTGCAGATTTCAATCCCCTTTTCGCTTTCTTTAATGACATTGCTTGTGGATGGGTAGTTCTTTATAAACATACTTCGGCCAAATATTGGAATTACAATAAATTTTAATTATTCATTTCTGTGCAACCACGTGAAGCCATGCAGCCAATAAAGTGCCGCCATTACGATTTCACTACTACTAACATTAAGCGGGGTTACATTATTCATGGATACTGGATACAAGAGTCATAGAGTGTATGGAGGATGATAAGGCTACCGTCGAAACGTGATTGTTAAAAATTTTCGTCGGAGGGTTTTTGTTATATATTCGACAGAAAGGGTAGTGAACAAAGTAGCTTTAACGCTGTTACAAAAAAAATCCTTGTAAGGCAAGGATTCACGCAGCAGGTACGATGGTTATTATGAAATTTGGTGAATTCTCTCTTGACAGTTCAGCGGCTGCTGTGCAGGTATATCCGAACTTGTCACCAGAACTGAAAGGTGTGCCGACAGAAGTATAGAAGCGATCGTCTTCATCTTTAGCTTCCTTGTGAGCTTCTCCTTTCGGACACTTCAGACAGTGCTACCAACGTTCCCGATCCTGTACCATAGTCTGAGCTTCAGTAGAAGATACCTGGAGTCTGCAACAGACTCCTTTCATATATTTGCACTAAGTTAATCTTGGCCGTCTCGTATACCTTTTTACGGACGATTGGGCAAGAAACAGTTGCCTAGCCTTTCTTTCTGGAGGCATTCGCAACACGTGCCCAAACCTTCGCAGCTGTAACATTTCAGTCTGGAGAAGCAGCCGCTGTTCACCAAGGTAGACATTGAAGTTTGAGAGACAGCACATGCCTTGTTCCGCTAAAACTTTGAGCATTTCATGGAAGATTTCATCAATTCCAGCAGCCTTTCAATTTTTCAAGCTTTTCACAGCTTGTGTAATTTCATGTACAATGATAGTAATATCCGTTCGCTGCTGCCCAACAGGCGATTCCTCCTGTGGTTGCTTCGGGTTAAGAAGTTCCTCCAAGTACTCTCTCCATCGCCGAAGAGTGTCATCGTCCTTGGTAAGAGGGTGGCCAGACCTGTCCTTAAAGACTCTTAGACTGCCACCTCGGAGCCTACTGATAGTCTGCCAGAATACTTTGCTTGCCGTGTGGAAATTCGACTCCAACACCTCACCGAACTTCTCCCAGGAATCATCTTTGGGTTTCGTCCCTGCTTTGGTTGCCGCCTTGCGTAAGTAGAAGGCTCCTTGTTTCCAAGCCATTTTTTGAACGCTGCTTTCTTCTCTTTATCTGCCACTTGTACCTGTCGTGTCCACCATGACGATCTTTGCTGACCTCCAGGCGGCAGGCCAACCCGTTTAAATCCGCAGCATTCAGCGGCCGCCTCGAGTGTGCCGCACTTGAAGAACTGCCACTCGGTTTCTACATCATTTGTCATCACTGGTATCTGTTCAAACCGTCGTGCGATGTAGTTTACGAATTTCGGTCTCGTATCCACCGAAGACAATGTTTCCCATTTGATTCTCCGGTTGCTTCTGCCACCGGATCTTCGTATG